CCCAGCACCCCAGCCAAAAATCTCCATTCACCGCGGTGCAGGCCTGAGGCGTTTTCAACAGCTCGTGGATATCGAAGTCCTGCGCCGTCCAAACACATCCCGCAGAATCCGGCCATTTGTTTTCCTTTTAGGTGCATCGAAACTCAAATTGTCCTGTACCAGGCCCCCCGGTGCAGGAAAAAAAACACTGGGTTTTGGTGAAGAAAAAAAGAAGCCCAACTGGTATTAACAGCAACCCCTGCAAGCCTTCCGGACCCTGAGCAAGCAGACTTTCCGAAGCCAAGAGCCTATCCGAAGGTCGCAAAGCTTCGAGCTGGGGGAAAACCAATCCAACCAAAACAAGAAGGGGGGACAACAGCTGGACAGCACTGACTTCTAGGCGTCGCAGACTGAAAGGGCAAGACTTGGGCACAATGTGTGCTTGGTTGAAGGAGTCGCTATGTTTGTACCAAGGCCTGGGGATTAACTAGGGGATTAGGTAGGGGTTGAGCGGGGGGGGCACTGCACGCTTCTTTGCACCGTGAATCCTAGGCTGGTACTGCCCTCCAATAGCGGATTGCCGGTTTGCTACCAATTTGGCGGTTTGAAAGATAAACCAAAAGCAAAACCACGCCGGGGGGGAGGTCCCGGTCCCCTATTTGGACGCACACCCCACTGGTGGAAAGGTAACAAACTGGCCAACAAAAACAGGCCACCACAACCCGCCGCCACCAAAGACTTCATTGTACCCTTGGTTCAAATTTGGGGGAGCCAAGCAGAGTAGACCCACAAAGGAAAAAAGACAATGAACACCTGAAGCGGAAAGTTCACAAACATCTGCCTCAGCAAGAGCCTCCCACTCGCCTGGCCTCGTCCGACTCCGTATGCTCAGAGACCGCATGCTCCGCGGAGGGCGTGTTGTCTGACACGCCTGCGTGGCCCAAGGTTCCGCATCGCTTTGCATCGCAGTTTGCGGTGCTTTAAGAGCACATCCTGGAGTACATGGCGAGTTCCCTGAGCAAAAGCTTCGTGCCAGGGACGTTTCCCACCCAGACTGACGCACCGACGCACTGACTACCAACGAACTACCGGAAGGGTTTAGACGGACAAGTTGACGACTCACTAGCCGGGCACCCTTTTTGAAGCAATGAATCTCCAATTGCGAGTGTGTTGTCTTGCGGTCCATGTCATTTCCCTCGGGTCCAGAAGCGACCTCACATTTGAGGCAAGGAGTCAAAATCGAAACAGTTGGTGGCAAGAGACTGTTCCCCGGCTTCATCTGCCTGAATTGCCTTGAGTGTGGCTCTCGGGGACCCAAAAAAAGGTTGGAGAAAAACGAAACGAGTTCCTTTGGCTTCACTGTAAAACCGAATGAGGACACACGCACCGGCGACAACCCTTTGGGTTGTTCCAAAAGGGTCAAGTATCTTCCTTTCATTGATTATTTTTCAAAAAAAAACAAAAAAGCAGGGGGTCGCCTTTTTTCGGCTCCAAACCTTTTCGACCCTCGCGGGCATGCGCCTGCGCGGCTTTTGCCTCGGCGCGAGCCGGCCGCGGCGCTGGATGCATCCCCGTTGGGGGTGTCGCCGTTGGGGGTGTCCGCCTCTTCGGGCCTGGCGAGCAGGGGGTGTTTGACGGGCTGCAAATGGAGGGGGGATCCGGGGGTACCTTCCCCATTCTTTCCAGGGACCCTCAGGGTTGACGGTATTCTTGTCGCGGAAAAAGTGTTGTCGGGGGGGGGGGGGGTACACGACCCAACTTGTTCAGTTCAAAACCTGAGCCAGGCTTGTATGGCTGTTCTCCTCAATCAACTTTATAACTCCCTCGAAAGTGATAAACATACATTGCCCGATTGCTGTCCAACCAAACCAAATTTCTGGCCATCCCAGCCGAGTGCCAGACAGCATCCTGGAGATGCATTCGAAAGCACAGTGCCCGGCCATTGAGACTTGAGCGGGAACCGTCAGACACGGATGGCCTTTGCACTGAACTCGGAAAATATGTTTTGTTGTTGTTTAAAAAAAAAATGAAAGAAACAACTTGGGTTCCTGTCACTTCCTTCAACCCGTTTTGTTTTTAAGCCGAGCCGCTCGTAGTCCTCGTCGTCCGCGGTGAAGTCTGGCAGCCGACCTCAGGGCCCCGAGTCGGCTGAGAAGACCTCGTTTTCTGGCGGAGAAACGGCTTGGGGCCCGGAAAGGGATTTTATGACAACTTCAGGGTGTGTCTCTTTGCGGGAGCCCTTTGTTTGTTTTTGCAAGGGAGCAGTTTTCTGAAATGGAATCGGCGTGATATCAAACAACTCGCTACCCCACAAGCCCCACTGGGCGAGTAGCCGGGGGTAGGACTCGGTGGCCATTGGGTCAGAAGAACACGGCTCAAAGGCCAAACAGTAAACTCGGTTGCTTTCTGCTCCCCTGGTAAAAGTTTAACTTTTAGTGGTTTAGTGGAAAACCCAGTAGTTGGCAAAAAAGTTAAAGTCCTAACAGCCAAGCAAAAAGCACCAAAGAGTATGCATGTCGCGAAGCAACGCCAAGGATTGATCTCCAACTGGCCGACCTATGCTTGTCACTGCTGGTCTTCTCAGCTCAGTTCATCATTTGGCTTTGTTTCGGAGGCTTATGACTCGGAGCCACTCTCGACGCTCTTTGGCTCGGGACCCGGAGTTCTCCGTTGACTTCGGACGCGCATTGGACCTCCTCGTCAAGGAACTTACTCGAAGGAGCCATTCTCTCGACGCTCTTTTCGTGAAAGAACCGCGGGAGGTAGAGCTGAGCTGCAGCCTGCGGTGCCCCCCTCTCACGGGGGAGGGCTCGAGGAAGCAGAGCCTCTCACAGCAAAGCGTCGGAATGGACTTCCTCTCTGGAGCTCCGGCAAGAGCCTCCGATGAACTTTGCCTAGGTCTTCCAGATTCGAGATGTTAGAATAGGTTGATACCAGTTGTTTTTCTGCTTTGTCTATTTTAGTAGGGGAACCCTCCCCCAAAAACAACACGGCAAAAGGGCACTACTGGGGGACCTAGTTCATAGAAGTAACTCACTGCCCAAGTCGTTGTGGCTCTGTCGAAGCTGCGTCGTGGCGACTCTCCGGAGACACAGCCGGCCAGCACATACTGTGGATGGACAAAATCCATTTCGCACCGCTTTGATACAATGGGGAACCATTCTTTGGGTCTTTGAAAGGTGGTGCGAAATGGATTTCGTAACCATCCACGGTATCACATCAGCTGACCTTTGTGTTGCTCAAAGTGGAACCTCTCCGATAGGACAACTGTCTGGGTGCCCCAGCCATGCACGATCAGCGCATAGCAGCCTGCGAGCGATCTTTCACCCGGCTGAGGGCAAGCCATGGGGTGCCTTGTTTGGGTTGGTACCCTTTTTCGAGGGTTGTTGACAAACTAAAGGACAGCACGAGGAAAACTGAGCCCATTTGGGGGGGGGGAAGTACGCAAACAGCCAACCCTTCACCCAAAGAAACTCAATCTACGTGGGTTTTCGAGGTGATGTTAGATGCAGTTCTTGAGTGGCCTGTCCGATGGTCTTGCCAACAAGTAGAATAAAGTCCTGCAACTGGGAAGTGGAACAAACAAATATCACTCAAAAAGCGTCTCCGAAACGCAGAGACAATGGCACCACCAAAATTGTCAGTTTCCTTCTCTCTTTTTGTTCTTATAAGCAACTACAAAAGGTAGTATATGGGTGTGGCTCAAAATTACAGAACCAATTGTGTTACGCGGGTTTCTAGTTGTTACTTCCATTAGGCACCATCGTGGGTTACATTTTTTGAGCCACTGACATATTCCTTGGCCCTTCCGTGCCTTCCCCGAACATCAGACAGGGGGAACCCCCCCAAGGAATGGCAGGAATCCGAGCCTGGGTCTCGGGGTTTTTTGGTGCCAGGAAAATCAAACCAAACAAGATATGCGAGGCAAAGAAACATGTTTACAGTCCATGTGCTCATTTCGACCTGTTTTTGTTGCCTCAGTTCCGCGGAAGGAAAAGAAAAATATGCGGGTCTTTCCAGCGCCACATCTTAGATTCAACTCGTTTTTTAGGGTCAACTTGAAACACTGATGCGATTCGATCGAGATGACCCCAGCCCCAACCCTGCCGAAGTACCGTTGGAGGTTACAAGGCTTTCGTGGATTTGCTGTGGCGGGTTGGCAGGAGCAGCTCGTGTGGCCTAATGGATCAGCTTTTTTTTAAAGGAGGTTCGTGAGGGTCACCTCAAAGTCCCGAAACCCAAAACCAAAGGATCTCTTCGATTCTTTGGCTGCGCTTGTGTCAAAATGGACCCTTTGCCGCCGGAAGCACGCCTTTTTAGAGTGTGTAATAACAAAGCTCCCTGACAAATCCGTGGAGCTTTAGCGAAATTCACGCACCAAACCTGGAAGCACTGGGCAAGGTCTACCAGACACTTGAGCTATCGACGCAGCAGGAAATGAGAAATGGAATTTCCCCAAAAACTTGGGGAATCCCGAAACGGCTCTCACTCCATTTCTCATTCCCTGCATCTCTCGCAGACACTCAAGGCTGACGCCAGCCCTTGGTGAGGCCTTTTCTCTTGGTTTTGCACAACGGCCCGGCAAGCGCGGCTGGTTGACCCAAAACCCGGGAAGCTGTAGTTGGAAGTTCTTGTTGGCTATCTATGTCTACCTACAAAACCCCATCCCCCGAACCCCCCCTGACCCCCCCAACCCCCCTGAGTTTCCCTACCCGCGCCCAGCTGGGCCCCAAGGCGCTCCAGACGAAGCGAGAGCTCGAGACTTCGCGCCTGGCATCCGCCTCTCCAGGCCGTTGAAGCGTGAGGCGAAGGCCCCAGGCCTCAGCCGAGGAGGGGAGACAGGGGGGGGTGAAGGAGGGGGTGAAGGAGGGGGTGGGGAGAGGGGTGGTGGGTGGGCGGGGGGAGGGTTCTCCACCGACGACCAACCAAAAAGAACCAACAACAAGGCAAAACGAAGAAAAAACAAAGGAAAAACACATAATGTGCGAACAACTGGCGAAGATTGGACCAAACAGGGCCATGGCTGGGAGGCCCTTGGACGGGAAATGCCACGGATCGACTTGGCCACGAAGCTCTTAAGGGACCAGACCTCATGCCGGGCCCAGGCTCAGCGGCTCCGCCACTCTTCCCCCTGGTACGGGCGCCTTGTGGAGAAATGTTTGATGTTATGACTCCGTTGGAAAAGTCCAACAGCCAAAGAGGAGAATGGCAGAAAAAACTCCGGTGGCTTGCCTGGGACTTACTGGGAAGGTCTCCGCACAGGGGGGACTTCCAAAAGAGAATCCCTGCGGAAGGCTTCCAGCGCCACAGCCTCTTGCCAGGAAAACACCGCCATAGGCCAGGGCTGGAAACGGATTCCCCGGGGTGATGCCACAGAAAGGGCATCCCCAAAGATGGACCTCTCATAGGGGGGAGATGCCCTTCCGGTATATCACAGTGGCAGAGAAAATCCGCGCGATCCCCCCGACCCTACACCCACACACAGCCACCAAGCCTCATGACAAACAGATTACCTTCCAGACTTGCAGGGGCGCAACCGGCCCGGCACTGGCAGCAAGCAGCGACGCGCTCAAGAATTCCAGGCGGCAATACTGTGGATGAACGAAATCCTGCACCACTTTGAAGCCATGGGGTTCACCAGTTGTTTGTTATTGACAGGGGAATCAAATCATTCTAGGACTTCTCAGATGGTGCGAAATGGACTTCGCCACCACCCACAGTGATTTTTGTTTGTTTCCACGCGGGACGGTAGATGGAGGAAACATACACAGGCCTCTGTGGCCCGGCACTCACCCAGTACCGCGCGCAGCCCAACTCTTGAAATCACCCAGGCAGATCACACGAAACCAAAAGAGCTGGAAAAGGCGGGACCAGTGGTGACCTGCACTCAAAACTTCAACCGAAATCCATAAGAGACCATGACCCGAAACCAAAACCCAAACCTGTGGAAAATGTGGAACCAGTAGTGACTCGAAAACAACCAGTAACCAAAACCCGAAATGCCGAACAAGCAATGACCCGGAACCAAAACCCTAAAGCCGGAAAAGGTGATACCAGAACAAAACAACCTGCAACCACAGCCCGAAATCCCGACCCAGAACCCAAACCCTAAAGCCAGAACAGGTGATACCAGTGGTGACCCAAAACAACCTGCAACCAAAACCCGAAATCCCTAGCAGGCAATGGTCTGTCTGGATGTCTGTTTGTTCGTCTGTTTAGTTGTCGTTGTGACCATGTTAACATGTGTTTGCTCCTTCGATTATATTTTGCATGTTTGCTCATCTGCTTATTTGCGTGTCGTTTCGTCTCTTCATGTTCCGTTTTGTGAGGGATGTGCCTTGGGTCTGGGCAGGGAGGTTCTGGCCGAGAATTGCCAAAAAAAATCACAGGGCCATGGCAGTTTGACCAGCCCTCTCCGAGCGCGACTCGTTTTGTGGGAACCTTCGCCCCCGCGGGATCTCCCTCTCCCACCCTCGGATCAGTCATGGCCATTCTGCAAACCCCAAGTGGCCCTCTGACTCTGATAGAGAACTCATAGCGACCCAAAAAACTTTCTAAGCTAAGCACTCCATGTACGGAATATTTACCCACATTTACGCTCCAAACGGGTACAAATGTTGGTATATTTATTACCTACATCTGGGTAAGCAATGCTTTGGTGGATCTCGAGAACAATCAGAACCCGGGCCCTTGAATCTAGCATGTGGGACGACCCAGGGGGCACAAACTTGGGCCTCAAATGGTCTCGCAACGCCCCATGTTGCTCAGTTCCATCTTGAGGAATACATCAAAGATTGTTTGCAGTTCACGTCAGCCAAAAACAAGTCCCAAGGTTGACAAACTTAGGTCTTCTGAGGTAGCTTTCATTCACCACAGCCTATAACCAAACCCGACATGCCGAACAGGCAATGACCCAGAACCAAAACCCGGAAGCCCGGAAAAGGTGGTGCCAGTGAGCCAAGACAACCTGCAACCAAAACTTGGAAACGACCCGGAGCCAAAACACAAAGCTGGATAAGTTGAGAGTGCTCGCTCACGACAACCTGCAACCAAAACCCTAAATCCACAACAAGCAATCACCTGTGGTGACCCAAAACAACTTGCAACACAAACCCGAAATCTCTCAGTGGTGACCCAACAATAACCCGTAACCAAAACCTGAAATGCCGAACACGCAATGACAGGTGGTACCAGGTGAGCGAAAACAACCAGTAACCAAAACCCGAAATACGTAACAGGCAATCACCCCAAAAAAGTAACAGGCAAACACTAAAGCTGGAGAAGGTTGCACCAGCGGTGACTCAACGGAACAGGCAAAACCCCAAAGCCGGAGAAGGTGGTACTAGCGCTCACTCAAGACAACCAGCAGCCAAAGCCCGAAATAGATAATAAGCAAAACCCTAAAGCCGGAGAAGGTGGTACTGGCGCTGACTCAAGACAACCTGCAACCAAAACTCGAATACGCAACAGGCAAAACCCCTAAAGCCGGAGAAGGTGGTGCTAGCCCTGACTCAAGACAACCAAAACCCGAAATACGCAACAGGCAAAACCCCAACGCCGGAGAAGGAGTACTGGCGCTGCTCGAGACAACCTGCAACCAAAACCCTAAATACGTAATAAGCAAAACCCTACCGAAATACGTAACTTGCAAAACGCTAAAGCTGGAGAAGGTGGTACCAGCGGTGTCTGGTGACAACCTGTAACCAAAACCCTAAATGCGCAACAGGCAAAACCCTAAAGCAGGAGAAGGTGGTACCAGTGGTGACTCAAGACAACCTGCAACCAAAGCCCGAAATACGGAATATGCAAAACCCTAAAGCCGGAGAAGGTCAAGACAACCTGCAACCAAACACGAAATACGTAACAGGCAAAACCCCAAAGCCGGAGAAGGTGGTACTAGCGGTGACTCAAGACAACCTGCAACCAAAACCCAAAATACGTAACAGGCAAAACCCTCAAGTGGTGACCCAAAACAACCTGTAATTAACCAAACCCCCAAATGCCCAATACGCAATACCTGAAACCAACCTAAATCCGGACAAGGGGTATCAGCGGTCCATCTCCCGGAGGCACCCACGCGGCCAAACAGGGGGGGAGACGGGAGACGACTGGAATAACCGGAAAAGTCCGACCAGCTGGCTTCCGAATCGAATGCAACGGGTTTTGGGGCGCGCTGCTGCGCCTGAAGGGGTGCTCAAGCCTCAAAAAAAAAACAAGACGTGGAAGCTGAAGGCTGCGCCGGTGTGTTGCACCCTTCAGATCCTCATGTGCCCATGTCGTCCCTACACAGTTGATGGTGCAGGAGCCTGGCTCATTCCAAGTTATTTCTCTTTCCGCGCAGGCCGCTTCCGAAGCCGAGTGGGGCGCTCGATTGTAAGACCGAAGCCCGTGTTGGGGGGTTCCGTCATGTTGAGACAAACCTCGAAATGCCACGCCCCAAATATGGGGGAAAGAGGAGTTCGTGCAAAAGACATTCAGAGATTCAGGGTCCACCGGTCTTCCAGAGTGCGAGTGCACCAAAAAAAATCCGGCGACCCCCCACAGTGCTACGGGCCAGCCGCCTTCGATCGAGATGTGTTCTGGGCGTGCGGCGTCACCATCGAGAAGAAGCCCGAGTAGTTCGGGGAAGTACAGGAGTAGACCCGGTTCTCGTTCTCCTCTCCAGCTCCATCTGGGACTACAAGTTTTTTTTGGGAGTTGGTAGCCTTTTCTGGTTGCTTTTGAAGGGCATGCAAAAGGAAAACCATTTTGGTTGACTCCTGTAAACACAAAAAGACACACCCGATCATGGAACAAAAGTATAGGGTCAGAACTTGGGACGGCCCTGGGCCATTTCGGCCCCTAACATGGTTCTCCTCAAAAAGGTCAGGGGAGCAACTTAAGATTAACTCACCTCCCCATGGAAAAGCTGGCAACCCGAGATCTGTGCCGATTCATTTTTTTGGGGGGGGGCATCCAAACTGCTTCCTGGAGTTGGCTTGTCCAGCTTTGCGAGAAGGATTAAACCCCTCGGATATTTTTCAGAGGGGTTTATTTCTCCGCACAGGGGGGGTGTGTTACTCATGGATCAAGACGACTTCTCGCTGAAATATGGCATCATCGAAAACATGTGGCCAGTTCCCGCGTTGGATGTGTGAAAGGTCTGCCTCTAGAATAGCCCGTGCGCAAAACCACTCTGAGTCTTAATAGAAACGTCTTCAGACCCTAATCTCGCAAGCTGTACTGGTTGGTGTCATCTCGGTATCCCTTGCCCATCCAACAAGCTTGGAAACCCCTGTATCATGAAACGCCCAAAGCTTGTTCATCACTTGTAGATGCCATCAGGCAATCAACATATGCCGTCGCTGGTCCTGGACGTGAACATTAGGGCGCTGTCCCCTTGGTGTGGAGTTCACACTTAGTGGGTGGCAGTTTTGGACACCGAAGGAGGGATGGGGTGGAGCTTACGGTCATTCCTTTTGGGAATCGCGTGAGCGACTAGTCATGAAGGAATGCCTTCTGTCACAAAAATTCCGCTCGAGCGGCCCTTTGTGTCTTTCTTGCAATCTGCGAGGCTCGGTCCTAAAAAAATCACCGAGTCCAGATCACTTTGGCCGACCCCGAATCCTTCAGGTACTGTCCGTCAGCAGTATATCCCAAGTTTTCCGACGTCAGCAAAGGCCAGGTTAACTTAAAGGGAAACGAAGTGACAAGCATGGGAAAGGACTTCGCGCGGCTGTTTCAGCATTCCTTTTGGATAGGTTGCAGCGCCTCCCCATCCGCAAGCAAAGCCCGAGGCTCTCGATCCCCATCCCGAGAATCGGCCGCATCGGCCGAACAGGCGCCTGCATGTCCAGCTCCCGGCAGTTGGGGCAGCCCAGCTCAAAGAACTGGCCCTCCCAAGCGCGGCTTCGAGCTGATTGGTGTGGGGCTTCACTTCCATGTTTGGTGGGAGGGGAGACTCGCTTTCTCAGCACTTTGACTTCTCTGCGTCCCTCATTTTTTGTGGCTGCTCCAGTGGCTTCTCTTTGCTTTGTCTGGC